AATAACTAATGCAACAAATATTTATTGTGTGCTATTATGCACTGGGCACCGTGCTAGCTGTGCTGGGGGCACAGGGATGTACAGTAAGAAAGCTTTATTCACTGTCCCCAAAGAACTAAAAGTTTAGTGGGGGAGGCATTCTCATCTGTGAAGCTGGAATTGTCATCATGCATAATAATTCCTGCCTCCTGGGGGTGCTTGCAGGGTTGAATGAGATGATGCAGGCAAAGTGCAGAGAGCAGTGGCTCCCCCATGAGACGCGTTCAATACCATGAGTGGTGTGGTGAGAACTGATGGGGAGATAGTTGCCTCTGGGGACCAGACGAGGAGCCCCAAACTCAGAGGGGTGGCAGCAGGGGAGGTTCCCAGAGGTAAGAGAGGCATCTGCCTCCTGCCCCATTCCCTGGGATGGGCTGTTGGGGCCCCCTCTGGTCAGGGGATGGACAGGACGGCAGTAGATTGCTAGGCCTGGGTCCTGGCCCCGCTGACACCAAGTTGGACTGTGGTCCCACCCACGACCTGGCCATGTCCCACAGCCCCCTTAGAGAGGAGCCCTGGGCAGGCCAAGGGGCACGGGAAGAACGTGTGGGAAGGGGTGACGGAGGCCTTGGGCATGGAGTGACCGCGAGAAGGTGCGGAAAGAAGGACTTGTCCAGTTTACTGTCCCTGGCCCAGAGGCAGCCCACACAGCCCTGCAGCAGAGGCTGAGGGGAGGGCAAGGCGTCCCCCACAGGACCAGGGGTGGCTTAAAAACCCCAGAGCCAAGGGAAGACAAGGGAGGGGCGTAGGAGTGGGGGTGGGGAAGGGATCAGGGTTGCTGACAGCCTGGAAGCTGGTCCAGAATCCAGGGGCAGAGCCAAGGCACCTGTGGTTCCAGCACGGAAAAGGAGACCAGACCAAGGGTAGGCTCTCCTCAGGAAGGAAGACAGCCTTTGGCGGAGTCACGGTGTGGGGTGGCCCCTGTCTCCTGGACAGTCTCTTCTACACCATTCTCTGAGCATGACCAATTTTGCAATCACCTACCCACCTACATTCTCCGTGAAATTCTCTACAGCCCTTCCTAGCTGTGTGACTTGGGGCAGGTTACCGAACCTCTGGCTTTTTGTCTGAAAAACAGGGTTAATAAGAACCAGTGCGTTTAACACCCCTGCCAACACGGTGGGCTCAGAAGATGGCAGCCGTCATGGCTCGCCCTGCACCATCGTTAAGTATCAATTCTTCCTTGTTTATGTTCCAATTTTCTGGCTCTGGGCCCACAGGCCTGTGGTGGGTTTATTCAAGCTTCCCATTCAGAGACAGAGGGAAGGGGGCAGGTGAGCAGGACGCGTTCTAACCCATCCCCAACACTGTTCCAGGCAGAAGGAAATGAGCCTGGGATGGCAGGTGACCTTGAAAGTGACATAATTTGGGGGGAGGGGGTCTTTGCAAACATTCCTGCTGAGTCAATGGTAGCCATCCCTGGGAAACAGTAAAAGGAAAGTGCAGAAGAAGACAACCTTCAGACCCACAGCTAACTGAGTTGCAGGTGGCGGCTGGAGACAGACCCATCTGACTCTCCCCCTCCTTCCCCAAAGCGGCCCTCAGGTGACAGAGCAGACCAAACCTGATCTCTCACAGGGAAATCAGGAAGAGAGGGGGAAAGAATTCGGGAGGCGGATGGCAGGAACGAGGAATTAGGCAAAGAAAAATGGCCTGCAAAATGCAGAAACGCCCCAGCATGCTTGCTTCCCAAACCCGGCCCATGAATCGAGGGGTGACAGGTCTCCCATCTCTGACGCCAAGAGCCAGGAGCTCCGGGCAGCCACAGGTACTACATCTGCACCTGCCAGCACTTGGAAAGAGGCGATAAAGCATCGTAGCGGGGCCTGGAATGCTAAGTGCCTGCAGCTGGGCAGGGGCCGCCTTGCAGCGAGAGCAGCTCATGGCGGACATCCGCCCTGCGAGGGCCCTGCTCCGAGACCGGCCTGCGCTTCCTGTCCTGCCCCCGGCAGCCTGCTCCCAGGGCAGGGGGGGACAGGACAGGTGCACATGTAATCTGGCCCTGTGGGCCTCCCTAGGCTGGGGGCCAGCCTAGACAGACAGGGATCTTCTGGACGAAGCCCAAGCGGGCTAGGTGATTTACCGAGGCCGGCAGAAAGCTGGGATGCTGGAGTCACTGGTACATAACAGTGGATCATAAAGCACCAGCTAAGCCAGACGTCTGGAAATACACCAGGGCTGCATGTAGCTTAGAAGTGTGGGCCCCATCCCCCAAATGAAGCTAATGCCAACAATGTTTATACAGCACTCACAGAGAGCTGCCAGACCCTGCTCTGAGAGCTTTGTACGCCATTAATTGACTTAATCCTCACAACAAACCTAAGAAGTCGGTGGTAGGATTATCCTCCTGTCACGTAAGGAAGATGAGGCAGCACAGAGGCCAGAGAGCCCAGAACTAACAGAGGCAGGGCTGAACCCAGGCAAGCGGCTTCCAGAAGCCATGCCCTAGCCAGTGTCTCTCAAGCTCCACTGTGCCTGTCAGCCACCCGGGGGCTTGTTAGCATGCAGCCCCTGATTCAGCTGGCCTGGGGTGGGGTCTGAGACTCTGCATCTCTAACAAGCTCCCAGGTGATACCTGGTCCCAGGACCACACCTTGAGCAGGAAGCTCTAAACTACTACACAAGTTCCCGTGAAGCCTCTTCAGCTTTGGAAATGGGTTTAAACGCAGGGCTCGGGCCCTGGAGGTGTCTAAGAATTCCTCAGTTAACAGCGTCAAGGGGCTGGGGGAGGGGATGTGAAGTCTTAAAATGCCCATGTGCATGCCCCACCTTGGCCTAATTCATTCAGAATCTCTAGGGTGGGGCCTGGACTGGGATTTTTGTGTGTGTGTGTGTGAGGAAGATCAGCCCTGAGCTAACATCCATGCCAATCCTCCTCTTTTTGCTGAGGAAGACTGGCCCTGGGCTAACATCTATGCCTATCTTCCTCCACTTTATATGGGACGCCGCCTCAGCATAGCCAGACAAGCGGTGCGTCGGTGCGCGCCCGGGATCTGACCCCGGGCCACCAGTAGCGGAGCGCTCACACTTAACTGCTATGCCATGGGGCCGGCCCACAGACTGGGATTTTTTAAAAGCTCCCCGGGGGATTCTGATGTGTAGCCATGGTGGAGTCCTTAAGACAGACAATAGGGATGCCTCAGTCAGCACGTCATTCATTCCTACAAAACTGGGAAAAGTTCCCTCGGGTTCGGTCAAGGATTTCAAAGGTGCTTTCAGGAAGGGGGTGGTGAGCCAACTCCTGGGCCAGTTGAGGGGTATGGCTGGGGTCTGCTAGGGTACCATGTTCTTGTCCTCTAGGGCACCTCTGGAGGAGATGGGCAGCTGGCAACCCCCAGCTGGCATGCCTTCAGAGGTGCTCCCACGTCCCCCATTCATGAGGTTTCAAGAGAGAGCAGACTCAGGCCTAGATCAGCTGGGGAAACCGAGGCTCCTGACAAAGATTAACCAAACCTCTGAGCCCTTGTCCTGTCCTCCACCTGCCCAGCCCAGTCTTAGCAAGAATCCTAAATCAGTTTATCCAGAATCCCCACCCTTGATATCTGATCACCCTCGATATCTGATCAATTCCTCATCCCCCACCCTTGCCGTATATGTACTTGGTCTGCCTTCAGCAAGAATCCCCCTACCCACGATGGCTCCTCTTATCAATTGTCCATTCAATGACCCCTCATTCTGCTCTTCGCCATAAATCCCCACTTGTCCTCGTAGTATTTTAAGTTGAGCCCAATCTCTCTCCTTTATTACAATGGTCTTGGGTAAAGCCTTCCTGACAATTTTAACAAGTGGCAGAATAATTTTTCCTTTAACACTGCCCCCGCCTGAGGGAAAAGTCACTCCTCAAAGTCAGCCGCCCTGGGTGGCAGGAGGGGGCTTGGTGCCACTGCCAACCAAACATATTTTAGACTCCTCACCTGGACATTCAAGGCCTGAGCAACGACTTCAAGGCCCATGCAATGATCTCAAGCCTTATTCCTCTCTTATGTGCACCCCGCATAAAGCAAAACTAGATGCTTTATTGTTCCTCACACACCTGAACTCTCCTCCCATCCTGCCTTTGCCAGGCTTTTCTTTCCACCTGGAATGTCTACTCCCCATTCTTCCAATCCACTTGCTGAGTCACAGTGATCTCTCCCCAGTGATGAGACTAGTTCTACCGGAGTCTTCATTTCCCCATGTCTTCCATAACTACACAACCTCCCATTTTAGAAGGGTACATGGTTCTCTGGGATAAAGACTACATTTCCCAGCCTCCTTTGCAGCTCATGTCACATGACTGAGTTCTGACCAATAGCATGTAAGCAGAAGCAATGTGTGTTACTTCCAGGAATGTTCTTATGTTCTTATGCCTCTCTTTCTCTTCCTATTTGATGTAACGGCTGGAGCTCCAACAGTCATCTTGGACTGTGAAGTGATCTTGAACATGGAAGCTACACATGGTGGAGGAACTAGGTTTCTGAAAACATGGAACATCACACCAGCACTGAGCTGGCCAGACTTGAACACGAGAGAAAAATGACCTTCTATCTTGTTTTAGCCTCTGCTCCTTTGGAGTTTTCTGTAAATCACAGCTGAACTTAATGCTATTGGATCCACCCTTTCAAATCCCCAGAGGCATGAACTCTGGATTCTCAGGTTTCCCACACTACCCTGCATAGAGTCATCATTTGCATCTTCTTCCCAGTTAGACAGTAAGCAATCTGAAGGCTGGGACTGTGTTTTACCCATTTCCATGTTCCCCTGCCACATGAAGCAGGAGGCCTCATACACAACACAAAGCACGTCTTAGGACTGAATTGAATTCTTCCTACTAGACTCCACACAGCTTGCTAACTTGCATCCATATTCTCAGCATGCTGCAAACCTTCCTGGAATGGTGCACCCATGTAAAGCTGCCTTTCACCCCATCCAGGCTGCTTGCCCCTCCCCGCTGGGGCCTCCCAGGAGTAACATGCCCTTACCAGGATGTCCGAGCCCTTAGGTTCCTCCGCTGTGGCCGGGATGGAGCAGTTGCTGAATTTGAATATCCAGTACTCCTTGGCAGTGACAAAGAAGTTCCATGGCAGTAGGCCGCCAATGCCCAAGCTGAAGAAGATGACGTAGGTACCATTGAAGCGGTCCTCGGGCCTCTGCAGGCCGGGCGGCGGGTGGTCCAGCAGCTTCTCAAGCAGCGCTTCCTGGTCAGCTCGGAGAGAGCTGCTTGCGGTTCTGTAGGTGGAGTTTGAGCTGTGATGAAAGTCGTCCTCTGGGACCATGGCCACTATGGGAGCAGATGGAGAAACAGAGACAGGGTAGGGGATCAGAAGCTGAAGCTGGGCACAGCTGTGGACTTACCTGTCCTCCAAAGCTGACTATGACCCCACCCGGGGGTCTACAGGGTCACCAAAGCCTGGTTGGAGAGCCTCAGGTTTAAGGAGCAGGTTTAAGGACATCTGACAAGATGTCAGAACTGTAAGTGACCTCAGGGCTCCCCCCTACTCCCACCCCATGCAGGAGCAACAGAGGTAGCAAACGCGGCACAGTGGGGCCTGTGGCAATCATTCAGAAGGGCAAACCTGGTCTCAAGGCATTCAAATTTCTATGCAGCCATAAAAAAAAGGAATTAGGACCCTTAGTGGGCAAAGAATGCTCTCTAAAGTCTTTTCAACTTTATGTGAGAAAAGCAAGGAGCAGGAAAGTGTGTAGAATATGCTACTATTTGTGCAAAAAAGCAGGGATGGGTGGGTGGGGAGGAGAATATCCACATTTATGTATGTATATCCTCTGGGACTTCACTGCATACTCTTTTGTGCCTTTGAGTTCTGTGTGAATGTATTACCTGTTCAAAAACAAAACTATAAATAAAAATAAAGTCATTCAAATCAAATAACTTTTTAAAAAAAAACCCATGGTGTCTAGAGCTGCCTCTGGAAGCCAGTGTGCGACCTTTGAGTGTCTACTCTCTCATTTGTGAGGAAACAGAGGTCCAAAGAGCAGAAGGTCACAGGTCAGGTAAACGGCCAAGCCTGGGTGTGCAGCTCCCTCCCAGGTCCCCGGCTCTGTCCATCGCATCCCACCAGGGGACAGCCACTCCCTATCTGTGGTAGCACCCAAGACAAACTGAAGATTCTACGTTGCCAGCAACCATAGCCTACGTGGCCTTGGGCAAGTCACCGTGCTTCTGAGCCTCAATTTCCCACCTGCAAACCTAGGGAAGCCTTTTGACAGTGGTCACCTAACTGCAGCTGGCTGGCAACGCCTGGCCTGTGGTAGCAGCTGCTGAACAAACGTCAGCATTTTCCCTGGCATCCCGGGTTTGTCACTTGGCTGGCTGGCTGCTGAATCTGGCTAGGAGACAGCATGCCTACTTCCATGCTCCATATAGCACCCAGGATGCGGCAGCAGCTCGACAAATGGGAAATATTTCCATAATGCTGAGGGTGGGACACTCCGTAGTCCCCTCTGCAGTAGCTTCCTCCCCACCCAGTCCATCAATCAATACATGCAGCTCGGCTCACACAGGCGGGGAGACTTCCCCCAGAGCACTGAGCCAGGCAGGGTGGGGCCTGTCTTTCCTGGTGAGATGGGAACTCCCTGTCACATGGGCACAGAGCCTCATCCTCTATTTCAGGAGACCCTCACAACATTCTTCGGAATTAAGCAGGAGAGGAATGATTGCCTCCCTTTTTTTTTCAGATGCAAAGAATGAGGCCTTAAAGGCACTTGATTTGTCCCACATCCAGTCAGAATTCCCAATAGTTAAACCCCGTACTCATGCATGCCAAGGTCTGTGCCTAGCACCTGAGCCTGACAACCACCTAAGATAGTGGGTACTACCCTAAGACCCATTTCACAGATGAAGCATCTGAGGCTCAGAAAGGTTGAGTAACTTGGTCACACAGCTACCAAAAGGCAAGAGTAAGGTTACACAGCCAAGCAGTGTGAAGTCCACGCAGACTCCCCGGCCTCCCCTGGAGGAGGCTGGCCGGCCACGTGAACCCGTGTCTGCTGGCTCCAAGTACAGATGTCCTGTGAAGGCCTCGCGGCTAGTGAGCTGTGAGCAGAGGCAAGGGCAGTGCTGCAGGGCACCCTCATCGATGTTTGCTGAATGAATGGACTCTGTGCTTCCAGGATACCCTCCCCTATGGGCAGCGTGCACCCTGTAGCAGGCAGGAGGCTGCCGGATGCCCAAGCCCGAGCATCCGAGTCAGCACATCTATTTGAAACTCCGCTGGTGGAGCAGAGCTCTTTCCCAGCCTTGATTCGAGGGGATCCCAGCAATAATGAACTAACCAGACCGTGTGGGCACACGCGCGCACACACACACACAATTTCTGAATTAGTGTTTAAAAATGTAAATACTATTATGACCCATGTAGGACAACAGACGAAGGACAAGTGGTTCTTTCCAGATGCTCCAGCTCCAGGGATGGTGTGGGGCCAACAGCGGGGCCAGGCGGGCCCACACTGGGCTGGGGCCCATCCTCAGCTCCAGGGGTCTATTTGTCCAGGACCATTCAGCCTTGACCGAGCTCTGAAGAAGCAGCCAGCAATTTTCTCTAACTCGGGTCACAGGCCGGGGCAGTGGAGTGAGCCAAGTCTTATTACCCTTTATAAAAGCTAGCCGCTGGCTTTTGAATTAAAAAAGAAAGAAAAGAAAAGTAAGGAAGAGCCCCAGCGTCCCCAGGACAGGCTGGCTGTGGCCTGGTGCGTGTTCCTCAAGCCCTCGCAGGAGCTGGCCTGGCTTGGCCCTGTCCCCTCCCTGGCTGACCTGGGGCATGGGACAGCCTCTGCAGAAAGAGGAGAAAGTTGTGGGGCCTCTAAGCCACTGCGGACCACCCCCTGGCCGGCCGGGAACTGGGTGCTGGTTCCAAGGAGGTTTCTGACCCTGGCTGTCAGTCTCCCCTCTGTGCATCGATTTCCCTATCTGTGAAATGGGTGTAGGGGACTTTGAAGCTAACCTATGGGAAAGCATTGCTGGGAAACAGAGGGCACCACCCAGAGGCCATGGCAGAATCCTCCTTGGGGTTGTGGACACCCCCAGCCTCAGGCTCCCCCATTTGGACCAAGAATCAGGCACCTACTGGATACTTTGGGGTGCCTTGTCCATACCCAGGCCCCCCACATCCAGGCGGTGAGGTCCAGTCTCAGGAAATCCACGAGGAGGGGGAGGGGAGAAAGGAGACAGACCCCCAGAGAGAGGGAGAGGGAGACGGGGAGCCGGGAGGAAGAAGACGGGCGGCGGGAGGGGCGCCG